AAAGCATAGAAAGTCCACTGAACTTACTTAAGAAAGAGGCAAATCAATCCTGAATTCAAAATACTCTATAGCAGAGAGAAATGAATGAAAGGTATGAATAGAAGAGACGGTTGAGGGGACCCCCTGAATGATGGGAACGGAGGATGGAGGGACAGAGTTGAGGATCACTTACAGTTTTCCAGCCTGGAGAACTTGGTGTTGCTACTTAATTTAGATGAAACGAGGAAAAGAAAAGCTGGGTTAGAGAAAGAAACACCTATTAGCTCTATTTTAAACATCCTGAGTTTGAGTTGGTAGGAGAATCTTTGGTATCTGACAGGTCCACATCTGTGGATTCAACCAGCTCTAGATTTAAAATATTCCCAAAAGCTTGCCTCTGTGCTAAACACATGCAGAATTTTTCCCTTGTCATTATTCCCTAAACAGTAACAACTATGTACATAGCATTTTCATCGTATTATGTATTCTAAGTAATCTAGAGATGATTTTACAGCATGTGAGAGGATGGGCATAGGTTATATGCAAATACTATGCCATTTTGTCAGGGACTTAAGCATCCTCAAATTTTGGTCCCTTTGAAGTCCTGGAACCAATCCCCTGGAGATACCAAGGGATGGCTGTACACAAGGAAATGACTAGCAGATTTTCAGAAATGTGGACCTAGAATTCCAGAGCCAGATCTAGCAGGTTGAGGCCGCATAATACATCTTCACATACATATATCCACAGCCCTTTGAGTCAAATAAATTGGGTTTTCATTGGTCACTGTCATCTACAAACTACTACAACCTCCCAGTGACAAAATGAGCTGAGACCATGATGTCATGGAAGCTATGTTTGATGTTTTTCAAATTCTAGTCATAATTCAGTGCCAGAAATTGATAAGGCACTGTAGCCCCTGAGCCACAGTGACCTATTCAACTTCTCCCACATGCCTGGGAGCCATTTCCATTGGCCCAGGGAGGTGAGTGAACACATAAGCCCATTGTCTTTTTCTTCTTCTTCTTCTTCTTCTTTTTTCTTTAGATGGAGTTTCACTCTTGTTGCCCAGGCTGGAGTGCAATGGCATGACCTCAGCTTACCGCAACCTCTGCCTCCCAGATTCAAGCAATTCTCCTGCCTCAGCCTCCTGAGTAGCAGGAATTACAGGTATGCACCACCACACCTGGATACTTTTTTGTATATTTAGTAGAGACGGGGTTTCTTCATATTGGTCAGGCTCGTCTCGAACTCCTGACCTTGTGATCTGCCTGCCTCGGTTTCCCAAAGTGCTGGGATTACAGGCATGAGCCACTATGCCCGGCCTGTCTTTTTCTTCTTAAAGAGCGCCCTTGGGTATCACCATCAGGGAGACCTGTTGCTTCTGGTTGAGGCGCCTGGAATAAAGGCATCGGTACAAGAGTTGGAGCTGTCGTGGTTTGCGAATCTGTCCAGCAATCTGCCTTCCTCCTGGGAAATGGCACTCTTGCTGGGCCCATAGGGGAGACCTGAAAATGCTTTAGAGCATCATGTGTGCCAGGACGTCCCCTGGGTTCTCTTCATCCATGTCTCCTTCTGGTCATGCTTAGATGTCTGACTGAGCTGGAGGCACTGCCTGAGAAATTGACAGTTTCCTTTAATGAAAGCTTGGAAAGCTCTCGTGTTTAAAAATCCCTCATGGCATATAAAGAATAAGACTTAATAGAAATAGACTGCTGAGAGACGATAAATTTAGCAAGATCTCTATTCTAGAGCCAAAGTTCAGTGTTTTGGTTTTGTTGTTGTCGTTGTTTTCTTGTTCTCTGGTGCCCTCCTGTGTTCTGTTCTCAAATAACACTCAATTTACAAGACCCAACTAAGGTAAGCTCAAAGAACAGTAACTCTGATAGCAACAAAGGACTATATTACAACAACCCACAGCCTTCAGTATATTTCAACAAATGCATTTTCATATCAACAGTAGGTATTTACAAACAGCTGAAGATGGGTGGGTACCAGAAGCTGGGGTGGCTGGGTATAAGGAATGGAGATGTTGGTCAAGGGACATGTATTTTCAGTTAGATGGGAGAAATAATTTCAAGAGCTCTATTGTACAGCCTGGAGACTATAATGATGATATACGGTATTTTCCAAAAATGCTCAGAGTGGGTGTTAAATGTTCTCACCACAAAGACGGTAACTGTGAGGTGATGCATTTGTTAATTAGCTAAATTTAACCATTTCATTATGTGTGTTTTGAAGTGTCAATAACAAAATGGTTAAATCTAGCTTTGTAAATTATGATTAAATTAGCTAGATTTAACCATTTCGTTATCGACACTTCAAAGCATCATGTTGTATCATATAAATAGATGCAGGTTTATGTCAATAAAAAACTAAATTTGAAATAAAAGAGAAACTTTACCATTAAAAGCGGTTGCAGACAACCCCCAGTGTTTAGCACATTGCTTGCCAGAAGGCAGATGTTCAGAAAATTATCTGTCAAATAACTAAAGATCAGTTACCCACCGTGTTAAAGTAGGAACTATATTGTGCTTGCTGAAATATTCTATTACAGAAAATTCATAGAGAATTGCCAAATTGCTATGTTATCCTGGGTTATATTTACATCTACTTCATAAGTTAAAGCAATAACCATAAGAGAAGAGTCTAATGTTTATATTTTCATGCATTCTTCTATTCAAATATTTATTGACCTCCAACTATGAGCCATATTCTGTTTCAAGTGCCAGAAAATAAAAAAGGATGACTTTGCTCCTGCCCTCGGGAAACACACAATCTAGTGTTGGAGGCAGAGAAGTCATCCCTTTATTTCAGTACTAAGTGAAACCTGCCATGTGAGACAGGCATTGGGTGTCATAAACTCATGAAGGAGGAACAGGTGATGTAAATGGTGTTTCCTGCAAAATTTCAACTGCAAACATTGGAATTGGCTATGAGCTGTCTACTTGCCCGACACCTAGATTTTGAGCCCTACAGTGTGTGTTGTTATGTCATATTTGTATACTTCAACAACTCTAAGAACTCTGACTAGAACATAGAAGTTACCCTGGATTTTTAATAGATTCCCTGAAGTCCTCTTTATATTGGGTTCTAACTCATTGAACAATCACAAATACATATATAGGGCTGGAAGTGATACATGAAAAATACCCCTTTCCTTCTCCTAATTATTAGAAAGGTATACCTCAAGGCTAAGAATTAACGGCATCCGCTCTACACTTGCCTCCATAGTATAGCACAAATACATTGCGAAGTCCACACCCCACTGCTCTCCTACATTTCACCAATGTGCCCACTCCTTTTTTCTACCCTTAAGACATTTGTCTAATTCCCTGTGGCTTTATGTTTAGATTGCCATAGCACTCTTCTTGCAGGAGCTGTGTCATTCATTGATTTGGAATATTATATGCAATGCAATTAGACCCTGATCCCATAGCCACTATTTCAACTGTGATTATTAAACCTCATTCTGGAGAATTTCTTCCAGATTAAACACAAAAATTGGATCACTTACCAACAGGTCCTCCAGCTAACTAAAATCTAAGGCCTTACTCACTTGTGCTTGCTAGCATCTGACACAGAAAAATGAGAGTTCAAAAATATTATTGGGTTTGACCTGATCTAAGTGTGGATGACGAACTTTCCACCAGCCAGTGCCACAGAGCCGAACTCCCCGCCACCCCCTTCTATCCAATTCTCAAGCTCACACTCTCTAGTCTAGCCAAATGGTTTCCTTGGCTTTAGCAGCATAATTTATCTTTGCTTCCAAAAATTGGCTAGTGTAATTCAGTGTTCCTAAGGCAATCTCTTGTCATCTAATTGCAATATTACATGCCTTGCCCCTTTGGTACTGTAACTCAACCCCAGGTCTTCTGGGATATTTTCACTAAGAGCATGATCTGTAGCAAAGAGAACAGCTTTTTTGCAGAGTTAAGCATTGAACTTTTGTTCTAGTTCTACTTCTGCCCTTTTAGGTAAGGCACTTGACACTAAATATATGATTCTCAGGGTCCTCATCTGTAAAATGGGATGATTACCACCCATGGCTCAGAAACCCGCAGCAAGCATTCAATAAATGCTAGTTTCTTCTCCTTATTTCATCTCTCATAAAAGCCATCTATTTTTTTTAATGTAGTATCACAAAGTCCTATCATTATTGCATAGAAATTATATCCTTGTTTTATTTTTTATTATTTTCTAATCTCTTATTTCATCATTAAGGACAGAGAACACTATTGCTGTTAGGATGATATTTTAGGCCCTCAAATGCTGTTGATTCTTTAGACCACCACCCGCCCCAACCAACCTGCTCCCCAAATCCCAGTCTATAACCCCAAGGTCTTGACTTGTTTGAACAAAAATATCATTAGTGGCCGGGCGCGGTGGCTCAAGCCTGTAATCCCAGCACTTTGGGAGGCCGAGGCGGGTGGATCACGAGGTCAAGAGATCGAGACCATCCTGGTCAACATGGTGAAACCCCGTCTCTACTAAAACTACAAAAAATTAGCTGGGCATGGTGGTGCGTGCCTGTAGTCCCAGCTACTCAGGAGGCTGAGGCAGGAGAATTGCCTGAACCCAGGAGGCGGAGGTTGCAGTGAGCCGAGATGGCACCATTGCACTCCAGCCTGGGTAACAAGAGCGAAACTCCGTCTCAAAAAAAAAAAAAAAGAAAAAAAATATCATTAGTTCTGTAACCAAATAATCTGATAAATTACAAGAGTTGATTAATGCCGCCTTACAGTGAAGGATATTTAGAAAAAAATAGACAAATTATGTATGTTGTGAATCAGTGAAAGGATAAAAGCCAAAACTCTGAGTACATGATTCTTGATCACAACTTACTCATTGTATATCATTGATCTTGTTCAGGAAAACATTTTCCTTTTATTATTTTAAATATCAGGTCATCCAGACGCCTCTACCCTTTTCTTCTTTATAGTCAAAGTATGCGTGTATGAATTACCTCGGTTTCATACCATTTCCTGTGCAATGAGCAAAAAGAAAATTCTAAGTACTACACACCCTGGAGCTCTGTGACTATATTCAGAGAGAACCACCAGGACTTCTTGCTCTCAGAGGTAGATAAACCTAGAAGAGGGCTCACTACACCTTTCCACCTGTCACCACTACAGCCTGGCATGATGGAAACAGCCTTGGGGAAAAAAAGTTTGATTCAAATGCTGGCTCCGCACTTAGCAGCTGCATGCCTTCATGAATTGACATGAATTGACATACATTCTTTTTTTTTTTTTAAATAAAATTTATTTTAGTAACAATTATCCTTCAGCGTCAGAAATTTTAAGTATAGTTAAATATTCCCAGGGGAGACATTGTATCAATACCATTAAAGTAAACAAAAAATCTTACCATAAAATTTTTGGTTATGAGGCATTAGGATGATAATGATTATAAAGATGAAGTCAATCCACAATCCTATAACTGATACTTTTATGGACCTTTATTAGTTAAAGGTTTACTCTTGTATATTATCTCACTTTATTCTTATGCCAACTTGATATGTAGAGGTAGTTGTTCTTAGATACTTTTTTAAAATTACTTCTAAAAAATTTTTTTCTGAGACAGAGTCTAGCTCTCTTGCCCAGGCTGAAGTGCAGTGGTGCGATCTCAGCTCACTGCAACCGTTGCCTCCTGGGTTCTAGCGATTCTCTTTCCTCAGCCTCCTGAGTAGCTGGGATTGCATGCATGCGCCATCATGTTCAGCTAATTTTGGTATTTTTTTTCCCATTTATTTATTTTATTGCATTTTAGGTTTTGGGGTACATGTGAAGAACACGCAAAATTGTTGCATAGGTACACACGTGGCAGTGTGATTTGCTGCCTTCCTCCCCATCACCAACATCTGGCATTTCTCCCCTTGCTATCTCTCCCCAGCTCCCCACCCCCCACCATCCCTCCCCTATTTCCCCACAACTGACCCCAGTGTGTAGTGCTCCCCTTCCTGTGTCCATGTGTTCTCATTGTTCAACACCCACCTATGAGTGAGAACATGCGTGTTTGATCTTCTGCTCTTCTGTCAGTTTGCTGAGAATGATGGTTTCCAGGTTCATCCATGTCCCTACAAAGGACCCAAACTCATCGTTTTTGATGGCTGCATAATATTCCATAGTGTATATGTGCCACATTTTCCCTATCCAGTCTATCGTCGATGGGCATTTGGGTTGGTTCCAGGTCTTTGCTATTGTAAACAGTGCTGCAATGAACATTCGTGTGCACGTGTCCTCACAGTAGAACGATTTGTAATCCTTTGGATATATACCCAGTAATGGGATTGCTGGGTCAAATGGAATTTCTATTTCTAGGTCCTTGAGGAATCGCCACACTGTCTTCCACAATGTTTGAACTAATTTACACTCCCACCAACAGTGTAAAAGTGTTCCTATTTCTCCACATCCTCTCCAGCATCTGCTGTCTCCAGATTTCTTAATGATCGCCATTCTAACTGGCGTGAGATGGTATCTCAATGTGTTTTGATTTGCATTTCTCTGATGACCAGTGATGATGAGCATTTTTTCATATGTTTGTTGGCCTCATGTGACATACATTCTTTGAGCTCCAGGCTCCTCATCTGTAAAGCCACCTTCAGTGAAGATAAAAGTATATAAAAATCCCCTTCCTTCTTTCTTCCCTGCCTTAGCTGAAGTTAATTATTTGCCTGTCTTGGTGCAGCAATATCACTTTGTGCTATAATTCATCTGTTTACGTATCTATCTCTCCCACCGAACTTGAGAGTAGAAACCAAATCATATTTGTCTTAATCATAACAGACACTTAACAAATGCTTGTTAGAATCCTCCTTCTTAACATACCACATTATATTTAGGCAACAATGCTCCTAACTGAATTTTTTAAAATTTTAGCAAAGCCACAGAAAACCATTTACTTGTCACCTTAGTGTGCCAGGAATATGAATTTTCTTGTTAATCCACTTCACTTCTGTTTCATGATACTCTCTCTCAGCATCCTCATCAGACCATTTACTGAGGCATAGAAGCCTGGCTTTTTACGTTACAAACTTCATTCTTAACATCGACACGTCTCCTCCACTCACATAGGTCTATTACTTACAGACCGGCAGGGAACTCGAAGAGCTTTAACCTCAAAGAGTTTTAACAGGTATAAAAAAAGTTGGCTGGGTGTGGTGGCTCAAGCCTGTAATCCCAGCACTTTGGGAGGCCGAGGCGGGTGGATCACGAGGTCAAGAGATCGAGACCATCCTGGTCAACATGGTGAAACCCCGTCTCTACTAAAAATACAAAAAATTAGCTGGGCATGGTGGTGCGTGCCTGTAGTCCCAGCTACTCAGGAGGCTGAGGCAGGAGAATTGCTTGAACCCAGGAGGCGGAGGTTGCGGTGAGCCGAGATCGCGCCATTGCACTCCAGCCGGGTAAACATGAAGAAAACTCCGTTTTAAAAAAAAAAAAAAAAAAAAAAAAAAAAGCTGCCAGAATTTTCACACCCTGCAGTTATCTACAGCTGTTCATGCCATCTATTTAAAGAAGTTTTAAGGTAGGCTGACATTAATAATAATAACAATGAAAGCTAACATTTCTTGAAAACTTACAATGGTCTAGGAGCACTTGACAGGTGCTATTTCAGTTAAGTTTCACAAAAAATATCATGTTTTATCATCATACCTCCCTTGGACATGAGAAAATTGAAGTAACAAAATGTGTAATCATTTCCTTAAATTAAAAACTGTATGTAACAGTCTTCTCTTTCTATATTCAATGCTTCCTTCAGAAGCCCTTGTAAGGAAGGTCTGGTGATAACAAATTCCCTCTGCGTTTTCTTGTCTAAATACCATTCAATCCAGCAATCCCATTACTGGGTATATACCCAAAGGAATATAAATCATCCTATTATAAAGACACATGCATGTGTATGCTCATTGCAGTACTGTAAAATAATAAAGTCATGGAATCAACCCAAATGTCCGTTAATGATAGACTTGATAAAGCAAATGTGGTACATATACACCATTGAATACTATGCAGCCATAGAAAAGAATGAGATCATGTCGTTTACAGGAACACAGATAGAGCTGGAGGCCATTATCCTTAGCAAACTAATGCAGGAACAGAAAACTGAATACTGCATGTTCTTACTTATAAGTGGGAGCTAAGTGATGAGAACACATGAATAAATGGAGGGGAACAATACACAATGGGGCCTTTTGAAGAGTAGAGGGTAAGAGGAAGAAGAGGATCAGGAAAAATAATTAAAGGGTACTAGGCTTAATTCTTGGGTGATGACATAATCTGTATAACCCCCACGACACAAGTTTACCTATATAACAAACCTGCATGTGTACCCCTGAACTCAAAATAAAAATTAAAATAAAATAAAAAATCCCTGTAAGTAATAAAGTCAGAATTTGCTGGAGGAAGTCCTGCTCTGAAACCTGTAACTATCTTTGCCTGGGATTCCAGAAATTCTACTCAAGAGTCAAAACCCTGAACACTGTATGAAGTAACGGTGAGTACCACGTAGTGAAACATTTGCTGAAGACGCCAGCACTGTTTTGGCCGAGGGCAGCATTCACTTTCGTCCCTGCCATCCCTGGTGCACTAGAGGCTGCTGTGGTTGCCACTGTCACTACACTCTCTAATTGCAGGAGAAACATTCCTTCCTTTTTGCTCAGAGGAACCTCTCCTCCTTATGATTGTTCCCCAAGGCAGCCTCAGGATTTCCAAGTTACAGAATGTTCTGTAGCACCAGGAATCGTGATCTTGAGTGCCACGGGGAAAAGCACTGTCAGAGGCAGCTGGATTGTGGGCTCCACAAGGAAAGACTTAGTCTACCTTGTTGATCAGCACCCAACAGAGTACTTGGCATAGTCAGAATTCTGAAAAAAAAAAAAAATTTTTTTTTTTTTTTTTTGAGATAGGGTCTCACTCCTACACTCAGGCTGGAGTGTAGTGGCACAATCATGACTCACTACGGTCTTAACCACCTGGGCTCCAGAGATCCTCCCACTTCAGCCTCCAGAGTAGCTGGGACTACAGGTATGCATCACTATGCTTGGTTATTATATACATATATCTATTAACCACTACACAGTTGTGTGGGGAAAAAACCCACAAAGATGATTCAGGACAAGCAAGTTTGCATGCATCAAAGATAAGGGTCTCAATCTTATAGAAGAGGCACAGAAAGCTTAAATATATATATATATATATATATATATATATATATATATATATATATATATATGTGGAGACAGGATTTCACCATGTTGCCCAGGCTGGTCTTGAACTCTTAGGCTCAAACGATGAGCATACTTTGGCTTCCCAAAGTGCTGGCATTACAGGGGTGAGCCACTGCACTTGGCCAAAATTATGTTTTAAATGAACACTAACTACAGTAGTATCCTTTTATTTATTGTTTTGTTTTACAGAGTTTCAGTTCAAAAATATTAAATGGAATATTCCAGAAATATACAAGAGAGAGAAAAAGACCACATTCACATAACTGTTACTACAGGATATTTTTACAGTTGTTCCACTTTTAATTATTGTTTAACCATTACTCTGCCTAATTTATAAATTAAACTTTATCATAGGTATATGTAGGAAAAACAGTGGATATAGAGTCTGGTGCTGTCTGTGGTTTCAGGCACCCACTGGGGGTCTTGGAAGGTGTCTCTCATGCATAGGTGAGAACTACTGTACCTCTTTAAAAGAACACTTAATTTGGAGTCAAAAAGAGGTAGGTTCCAATTTCAGCTTTCCCACTTACTCTGTGGTCTGGAGAGTTTCCTCAGCTGTAAAAGGGGAATTATAACAACTGAAATAATTATAATTTTTATGTTTATTAAATACTCCCTATGTAAACAAAATACTTCAATGAGTTTTGCATAATATAATTATCCCATTAATCCTCTCTACAATGAATGACTAATTATTATACCCTTTTCAGAGATGAAGAGGCCGATTTCTGGAGTGTATATTTCTCATTAAGTTCACACAGCTAGGAAATGGAGGCGTCTGTGAAGGTAGCAGCGGTGCTACTGCCCTCCTTGAAGGGCTTTAGGAGGACTGGCCTCCTACTTAGCATATAGAGATGGTTCCACGTGGAAGCTGTGAATCAGCTCATCGGTTCATCCCCTTTCAAAGACTATATTTAAATTCTGGAGGTCATTTAAGGTCATTTCCCAGGATTCAGTGTACCCAGTCCCTTTGTCAACTCTAATTGGCAAGTTCCTTTCAGAGGGGTCACCTGTGTTGACATAGGGAAGATTTGGCAAAAACACCAATCCAGAATAGAAGTAAAAGAGCTGCACCATCACCTTCAACTATTATGTTTTCACATTATTTTCCTCGTTTCACATATGTGTAAATAATCTCCCTATGCATGTGTGAATCTTGAAGTATACCACGGTAAATGCAGTCATATAAGTCAAAAGCTGAGCTTTTATTTTCTTTGTATCCGTGTTCACACAAGAAGAACATAATAAATGTTCTCAATAGCCCACCGCACCTAGGGAATACATTGTTTCTCACTAGAAACCACTGCTAAAATTTACTGCATTTTGTAGCTATTTCTGCTCTACACTCTATAGGTCGCTTAACAACTGATTTCTAGACAGATTTTCACAGCTTATGGGAATATTACCTGTTTGTTGAAATATTTCCATGTTTAAAAGACAACCTAATAGATCCAGATATGACTGAGACTTTGTCAGAATGCTCAAAGGAGCCAGCTGATTGTAAACACAGCTCTCTGTCTAAGGAAGTCTGAAGTTAAACGTTGCATCTTCTTGTTTGCCATTGCTACTGGAATTATAAAGAGGAAGCTGTGCCAGGGTTTCACGCTGTGAATACTCACACCCAGCTCTGAACTCTTTGGGAAGGGTGCTCCTGTTCCTCTGCAGAAGGTTGACAAAAACAATCAGAACTGTGTGACTCAGTCCCCCCTATTTCTGAGACTCAATTTATTTGAAGCTTCTAGGGTCTGAACAATCTCTTTTGGATTGCCTATCAGCAGCATCTGATTTTAACAAGAGTTATTTCACTTCTAGAAATACATTAAGTTCTATTCTCTAGCCTGAAAGCTTTTAAAATCCAAATCTTTAGACTTTATGGGATGACATATTTTACTGCGTTACTCTTTTTTTAAATTACTAGGCTAAATTTTTTTAGGTAAGACTGCTAAGGAAGGGAAGGGTTTGTTATCACCAAGAAGATGAAGAAATAATTTTCTGAGCACAGCTCGTGTGCACTGGAAATATTCCTTCTATTCTGGCACTAGGCCATGAAGAAAACTGGAAGAGTGGAGGCTGTGTAATAAGATGGGCCTGGTTCAAATCCCGGCATCTGTACTTCCATTTAGTGGGAGGTTGGGGATGTCTTTTGTCGTTGCTTGCTACTATACTCACACGTATTAAAGGTCTTTTTTTTTTTTTTTTTTGAGATGGAGTTTCGCCCTTGTGGCCCAAGCTGGAGTGCAATGGCACAATTCTGGCTCACTGTAACCTCTGCCTCCCAGGTTCAAGTGATTCTCCTGCCTCAGCCTCCTAAGTACCTGGGAATACTGGCATACACCACCATGCCCAGGTAATTTCTTGTATTTAGTAGAGACGGGGTGTCACCACGTTGGCCAGGCTGGTCTCAAACTCGTGACCTAAGGTGATCCACCCGCCTCAGCCTCCCAAAGTGCTGAGATTGCAAGTATGAGCCACCACACCTGACCGTATTAAAGGTCTTAATAAGGAATCTCAAAAAATACCTTAAAATAGCTTTACAGAAATAAGGGACAATTAGATAGATTAGCAAAGGGTTAAAGAAGAAAAGTCAAAAAGAGCAGGTTAAGGAATGACTATCAACCCAGTTGGAAGATTATAGTAACATTCCTACTCTAATGGTAATTTCTGCCCACGGCTGCCATGAACATTAAGCAATACAAAGCTTATAAAAGCCTTAGCACAGTATCTGGTAAACAATAAACGCTTAGGCACATTCACAGATCAAATAACTTGAAGGAAGGAAACGTAGCAAAGCAAGGTCTCCACAAAACATCCCGGATGTTCTTCTACCTCTTGGCATTTCCTTAATACCTCAATTCTCTTCTATGTTGAGGGAGCAGGAGCATTGATTAGAAAATAGCGTCCTTGTGCACCTGTTCACTAATATACAAAATAGCACATCAAAGCCGTTCTCTCTAAGTGAAATCTCAGCCTCTGTGGGATGCCACTAAAAGGTGAAACAATCCAAATCCTTCAAAAGCCTTAAAAGAAGATCAGAGGGCAGTTTGCCAACCTCCTTTTTTCATTTCTATGCTGTTACATTTACTGCATCTAACATACTCAAACCTTCAAAGCGGCTCTTCAGAAGATAAACTGCCTCATTCAACATCAAGAACAGGAAATATAAAAATGTATTATTTCTCTCTCTCTCTTTCTCTTTCTGTAGCTAGTCTGAGGGCAAAGAGATGTATACCAAAGGTGTTAGCAGGATGTTCAGCGTCTTTCACTGGGTCAAGTAATAGGGTGTGCTTGACCTTGAGAGGGTGCTTGCTGGCTGGAGGCAG